ATTACTGGTATATACATTTATTTTCTGTTTTCTCTGGGACAATTTTCATAATCATTTTAAGCCCTAAGCATTTTTATGACTGGGTGGGTACAATTAAATATGTTTTGCAAAATAAAAGGAATGAATGAATGACATAATTATTTCATAAAAAAATCATTTGCAGAAATGAATAACAATTTCAAACACTAAAGAAAATCTACTCTGAAATAGGTTTAAATTGAAACAAAGTGTCATTGAAAATTCAATTTTATGTAATTATAAAATGATTAAAAGTTGTTTTAATAAATGACTTAATCTTTATAGTTTAAAAAGCAAATGATTATATGATAATTTATTACCATAAAAGGAACATTCTACATAAATAGACACTTTAAATTTATTTTCATCTTCCTTTTTTACAGTTCTGCTTTACTCTACATAACCATCCAGTTAACTTAGGCATTATATGTCTCTGGTATACACATTTACTCAATCAATTGTACTTGCTTAAAGCTGTCATGCATTTTCCAGATTACACAACTTATTCTTTGCCCTAGAATAACCAGATAAATCAGTTGCCTTTTCCAAGAAAAATGAGATTCTATTGACAATGCCCTGGAATCCCATAAAATTGCCAATATACCTAACAGCTTTTCCTTATTTTTCAGAATAAACAATAAAAACAATTCAAAGGAATGGAATAACCTCTGTACTTGTCTCAGTGATCTTAGATATTTGCAAACTGTATTGTGAATATAAAGTGAATAGTGGGAAATAATGTTAGACACAAATCATGTAGTTACAGTAATGCCTCTGCTGTCTACCTGACTGTTATTCATTATTTGTAAAAGAAAGACACATTTAGGGAGAAAAGAATATAATATTAGAGTCAAAAGCCCTGAACTTGAATTTGTATGCAATAAACTTTGCCATATCCTAACATTTGGCAAATCATAAGAGAATGTTTCTTCATATATATATATATATATATATATATATAAAACAAATAGTAACATTTACCTAAAATCACAATGTGAGGTTAGATGGAATAAACCAGGGATATATGCAAATGTGAAACTTCATACACCTGGCTGTTGTTAACATTAGGAGCTTAAAAGTATAGTGATGCCTTTTTCTTCTTACTATACTAATTGCAATGAGTAATTTAGAGTTTTAGTGAATAATCTTTTACACAATAAGATAACATCCTGAATAGTTTTTGAGTAATGGGGAAAGGGCATAAATGAACTTATGGAACCACTTTAAAGGGACAATGATACTCAGTTGCTTGTGGTAAAGTTCAAATCCTCTTATTGTGTAGACCTGAGAATGACAGCAACTTCAAATGTAAGTCCTGAGAGTGAATATGTCTTTGTAATTTCCTCACTTTGGCCAAAGTTTAGATTCTGGGAGCTTAAATTTTCTTATCATCAGAATGGAAATAACTAACAATAAGTAATAATTTATAATAAGTTTCAAGTACTAAATATTACAATAGTACTTGCCACAGCAATGGCAGGCAATATTCACCATATAAAATGTAAGTAAATAAACCTGAGAGAATAAGGCTTGAGTCATGAAGAGTGACTCAAGTAGACTTAATTGCCACCAGAGTGAGCTACAGACTATTGGAGCAGACTATTGGAGAGATAACAAAATATTTGCTATTAAATGTTACAGTTGTTCTTTCTTTGAACAGTATTAGATCTTTAATTTTTCTTATGTGTCAAAGATGTGTATGTATATATATACACCATGTGTGTATATATATGTATATATATATATATATATATATATGGCATATACACATGTATATACAATGCTTTCTAAATTATGCAGTGAATGTAGTCATCTATTAGAGAATATATGAAAACATATTATATAGGTAATTTAGGTAATATAAATATTACAAACAGTCTAGAGTCTCAGGATATGGAGAATGGTAAATAGGCAAATTATTTCTAGGCTTCCTCATGAAAACTTGACCCAAAGATATCCACTCTTTTCCTCAGAAAATGTTTTACCTTGGAAGAAAATAATGGGAATCTACAGGAGCAGTGGATAGATCTGGCACTAGATTTTTGAAGTTGTTTTCACATTACACCTACTCTAGAGAGGGAAAAAAAATCTTTCAAGTAAAAGTTTAGGAGAGGAAGGACAGTGAAGTAATACAGAGGTCAAGAGTATAAGCTGTACGAGGAAGGTCAGAGAGTCACACAACATCCAAAGATGAAAGGATGGAATAAACTACAATTATTGCAAGGATTTGAAATTCTTTGATGAGTTCAGAAATGACTGTCAAAAGTTCACTACAGTTTTTCTATTAATGGAGAGATATATCAGTCCTTAAAAAGGTTTTATTCTAGAAGAACTGGAAAAACAATATATTCAGCATTTGAACTCATCAGATATGGAGCAGTTTTGGAAATGCCTGTTCTTCAATTTTCCTCCCAATGAAGTCTCTCTTTCACACTTTGATATCTCTTTAGTTTTTGCACATTTCTCAGTTTCCACTCTAGACATCGATTATCTCTTACTAAAAACACAATAGCAGCCACCAAGAGGCCATCTTGCTCCACAGTCCACCATCATTTATCCCCTTCCCATCTTCCTTAATCCACTACTAAACATCTATCTATAGTGATCTTTGCTATATACAAAGCTTACCATGTAGCTGCACCCTTCTAAAACCAAATTGTCTTTATTTTATGTATTTTTTCTGTTAACATAAAATCAAAGAATGTTTTCTATAAATATTAGAATGGTTTGGTTTCTATTATTTTAGTTTCATCAGTGTATATAGCACATCTTTCTCATTCTATAGTATATACTATTCACTTAAAACTGATTCTCTTTCATTTCTTAAGTAGTATTTTAATATTTGTTAAAATTATTGAATTAATAATTATTGAATCTAATGAGCATATGCATTAAATGTCAGTGAGAATATTTTATATTTAATAATTAGCTAAAAATTATAAAGAGTCTGGGCCTCCCTGGTGGCGTAGGGGTTGAGTCTCAGTGCTATCATAGAGGAGGCCTGAGTTTGCTCCCCAGCCAGGATGACTCACATGGTATAGCAGACCTCTCCTGTCTCACCACTGCTCCTCTCAACAGTGCATTTTAGTAGGCCTGCAGTTCTGCTTCCCATTCTGTCTCTGGTGAATCCTCTTACCCCCACACCTCTGGTCTACACACCAATTCTTCTATGTATAATTAAATCTTTAAAAAAAATTGTAAAGAATCTGTTAAATGGAAATAGTCTGTATAATTCTCTCATAGATACACTTGCTAAATTGTTACTAATTATCAAGTTACAATTAGGACAGAAAACTATCCTGCAAATTTTGAGATGTAGAAAAAAACTTTACTTTATCCAACTCATAGAGTTTTTAGAGAACTATTTCACATTATGATAGTGTGCTTGAACAATTTTCTATTAGGCTTTAATCAATTTCTCATGAGAAGATCACCTGACTGCCTGCCAAACTTGAGACCTATCTAGCATCTCTTAGCATGTCTCTGCAAGTGTCAGAAGTGATAAAATATTGTGGTGTGATGATTATCCAACCATTTTTCACTCTGTCCTATAAGGGATCTTGAAGAAAAAACTGTTGATTTGCTTTTTTTATAGAAAGGCACTGCTCTTATGGCAAGCTCGAGATAAATATTAAACACACTTGTAATCAATTTATTCAGTTACTTTAAAAGTACTTACCTGAGATGGGTAAAGAGTTAACATAAATACAAGATTACTTTAGTGGTGACACACTATCAGATTTATTAGTGGTACTCAAGCCGTCCTCTAATAGTATGCATGAATTATTATTTTTTTTTAACATGGGGGTTTAAAACCTGCACTTGTTGCTTTAATTGCTTTAATTATTTAAATAACTTCTACTTAAAAAATTCAGTATGCGGGCCCTCCCTGGTGGCGCAGTGGGTTACAGCACAGCACTGAGAATCTAAAGTGGCTTCCACATGAGTTCGATTCCCACCTGCCCCAGAGGTGACCATATGGTGCGGCAGACCTCTCCTGACCCGCCCATTGCTCCTCTCAGCAGTGTACTTCGTCGATCTGCCTGTTCTGTTCCCCACTCTGTCTCTGGTGAAGCCTCTCACCGCCCCTGAGCCTCTGGCCTGTACCCCAGTTCTGTATGCATGAATAAGTAAATCTTTAAAAAAAAATTCAGTATGCTTTCAAGTATAAGCATTTGATATATCTATATGGTTTATGACTACCCTTTTCCTATCCTGCCCCCAGGCCCTTAGGGAGCATGGAATTAAAGAGAAAACAAAACCAAAACCAAAACAAAATCAAAAAAACCTCTGGTTTTGCATTCACTGTGAAGAGCAAATTTAATTTAAATCATTTAATAAAAGCATTACTGACTGACCAGAAATCACAATATGCCAAAATTTACACAAAGATGTTAATTAAAATGCTATGTATTTAGAATTAAACCACTGCATTTACTTGTATATATTACTGCAGTTGGGTTTTTTACATTGGGAAAAGTATTTTCTTTTAAATGGTTATTCAATATTTACTGAGAACTTATAATTCAACTTCTGGGTCAGGAGGTAGATACAAACAGGTTTCCTGTCTTATTCGCAAAGCTTATTTCTGAAAAAGAAATATTCAAAAGTAAATAGATATAAGTTTGATGAGAGAGGTCAACCAGTCCTTCCCAACCACCTGTGTTTATTCTGTGCAAATATAACTGTTCTCCCATAAATAAAATGAGAGTCTCCAAATCTGTACATATAGATACATTTAAATTTTAATATCTATTTTGAATTTTTTCTTCCTAAATTTCTAGTTATCAGACTATTATGTGCAACATAGCCATAGCATATTACAATTAAGATTTAGCTTAATATTAAGTGGATGAATAATCAATTAAAAATTTCAATTAACAGCACAGATTAGAGAATGCAAAAAAAATACAGGATATTTGCGATTTTCAAATTGAATTAACAAACATATTTCTAAGTTGTAATGTTTGTAAATCTTTTACCTCTTGAAATAACAGTTTCTAATCCAGTTCCATTAATAAAAGCTCGTTTAATGGTTTGTGTTTTAATATCTGTCCAATATAAACGTTCTTCAGATGCATCGAAGTCTATCACAGTAACATCATCAATATCAGGGACTGTAAATGCCGTGATAAAGTTAAAATATGGATTATCAATATCCACTCCTCTGATTTCAGAACGCCTTGCATAAAGAAGAAATTTTTTCATTTCTAGAAAAGAAATAGAGAGTAAGTTTCCCCTCTAAGTTTAGCAAGTTTGAAATAGTCTACAAATTTTAAAATATTTTTTGACAATGATTTCATAGCTTTTTAATTCCAGAAAATCATGATTAAAAGTTGATCGAAGCATTAAACTGAGATACTTAATGGAAATAAATGTATACAAAAGCTTGTATCCTTACATCATCATTATAGTTAGACATATAAACAAAAACTCTCCTTATTTACAAATGCCAAAAACTTCAGGATTGATTTGATTTCAGAATTTCAAGCACACTTACATGAAATCTACAAATGTAAACTTTTTTATATAAATAACTAATAATGTTTCATTACTTTAATGCAATATTGAAATGATCTAGAAATTTTAAAATATTCCTCGTTAGTGAGTTCACATATTTTCAGTCTATGAATAAAATTAAGCATCGTTTTTAAAATCATGATTATGTCTTCCCTATAAAAATTGACTTCAAATAATGTTAAATAATGTTTTACTGTAAAATACTGTAAATCTTTGTAACTCACATCCTGAGACATTATCAATTTTACTCCTGTTGGTACTAATTTTGTGCTGTATTTATGAAATATTAGTAGATTAATTAGGGAGAGGATCACTGGAATTGCATGCTTTCATTGTTCACCTTGGAGTTATTGTTATTATTTGAGTTATATAATTATTGGATACAATTAATTTTTTTAAAAGTGGATGCATTACTGAATTAAGATTTGATGAGTGCATTATTTTTCATTGTCAAACATTTGCTTTGAAAATAAAATTACTGAAAATTAAAACCCCATAGTGTGATTTTCATTCACAAATTTTGTCAAATGTGCATTTAACTGTATTTTACAAATTTTCCCAGTTTCTGTATTGCACTACATTCTCCCTGCTTTAAGTTGATAATCCCCTACAAAATTACGCAAAAGCAATTTAGAAAAGCAAGGGGAGATTAAAGCTAAATACCTCTTTGTTATGCAGTTTAACTACATCATCATTTTTTTGATAAAACACTTTCACTTACAAAACTCCCTGTTCTGTAGAGATAAATTCTGCCAACTCACCAATAAGAGTCACAAGAAAAAAAGGAATATAATAATAACAGCTAAGGGCAGCATATCACATATGTAAAAGACTAGTCAGTCTCTCCATGAGTTGATGAATCATCATTAGATTCTAGAAATAATACCACCTCAAGTGTTTTTACAGGTGTTCAAAACCTCTTCAGTTTTACTTTGCAGAAAATCTAAATGCTAACACAATAAGAGAGAATTCAGTTTGGAGCTTAAATGAGAATTGTAAGAAATTTACCATAGCAGGTCTTCTTGTCAGTGGAAAGCTTCATCAAGTGGGGGCACACACAAGCAGCACTCCTATTATGATTGATCAGACACATGTGAGAGCAGGGGCCTTTGCCGTCATTAGCTGCACAGGGATTGGGAGCTGTAATTACACAGTGAAATATTAACAGTGTAGAAGGAGGAATATATTAAGGAACCTCGAAGGTTGACAAGGGTTATTCACTTAATGATTCAGAGTGAAGTTCCCTCCATAGTATCCATTACTAGGATGATTAATATGACAATAATAGACAATCATACACAGCAATTACACTAATAAAAACATTTTTCCTCCTCAAACATAACAATTAAGAAAACTCCCTCAATTTCCTTTAAGGTTAATGTAATGTATCAGATTGGCTTAGAAGTAAAGGCTTTTTAAGGATTTAATCTAAGACACAGTCAGGAATAACTAATTCAACATAAAGTAAACTCAGACTACAATAATCCAGAATATTGGGACCTTCCTTGGGTGTCATTTTCCTAATCTATATGTGGATTCCTTAGTTGTTTGAACATCAATTTGTAAAGGGCTTCCTAGGAAACTTCTTGCATGTATAACCTTCTATCAGGTGATTCCTCCTTGAAGAAATATTTGTTTTCCTTTATTAACAAGACATCTAATTCAATTTGCTTTTCATATTAAGTGATTCCATGACTAAAGTTTTTTTGGGAAGCACCATGTTATCCTACCCCACTGACAAACAGCCAGCTTGGACTAGCTCCTGGGAACTAGGTGGTGGAGCAAGGACTTTCTTCTGGAGAAGGAAGGGGGAGAACTCTTGTTCTGCAATACAACTTGCATCCTGGCACTACAGAAGTCATGGAACAAGATGCATTGAAGAGAGACATATAGAGACTCAGAAGAAACAAATGGGTGAGAGACATGAGGCTGACAATTGCAAAAATTATCTTCTTTTTGCCCCAGCTTTCTCAGAACTGCTTCTTCCAATTTCTTTCATATGATTCCAGAAAGTACCATAGACTTCAAGCAACCTTTTGAACCTGAGCCTCCTGGCTTCAAGCCAACCTGGCTTGCCTGGGCATTTGCCTATAAGAAGATGGCTAATTTGGAATATTCAGAATATTCTTCTCTGTGCACACTAATTCTGTTGATGTCCTTTCACACTAAGCATCTGCTTTGTCTTTATGCAGTGAATTGTAGAACCACACTATAGCGTTCCCTTGGTCTTGCACTAAAAGTTAGTTCAGCAGGCACATACTTAAATCCCAATTGAATGAATAAGCTTTATTCAAATTTAGAATGTTATATTAAATTGTGTAGTTCAGTTTCATCCTTTCATTCTTTTGTGCTTCTCATTTTGTCATCATGAGATTTGAACCTCAGTTAATAGCTATTTTCTTAAATCTCATTTTTATAGACTCTATAGTCATTTAAAGTCTCTAGAACAGACTGCTTAACTGAAGCACAAAAGAGGTAAATATTCTGATTCCACTAACAGAATTCCACTAACAGAAGGAATTACACCTTCTAACAGGAATAACTACAGCTCAGTAGAGTTAATATCATCCTGCAGTTTTGAGGAAGAAAGAATATTAAAAATCCATGCGATATTATATATAAAGCTTTAAAGGATATGAGAAGTTGCATATATATGCTTGTTAGTCTGCACATTATTTATGGATAGTTCACAATACATTAGCAGAATTAATAGTTTCAGTAAGACTCTGGGAAACATGAATCCCTAAAGTGTTTATCTGGATCTTTACAGAAAAGATTTCCTGATACTTGATATAAAGAAACTAGATCTTTTATGAGAAATTGTATTACAGAGACTAGTATTAACACAGAGATTGAGGGCTCCTACAGAATCAGTTGTATCTGATTTATTTGTATTCAAAAGTTAGAAAAACTGACTAGTCAATATACTGTTATAAGTAATCTTCACATATAAATTTCAAATACAACTGCACAGACTAGGTTCAAGTCATTTATCTACAATATTGACCATGCAAAGAACCTTGAAAATATACATGACACCTCTTTCTTACCTTTATACATTGGACAAATATTTATGAAATATCTAATTGTCCCATCCATCTTTAACACGTTAGAATATAATATAACAGTAGATAAGATTAGTGTATGGGCCAATTGTTTAAGAGCACATTCTCTAACCCAATGTACCAATTCTCCGAAGAGGTCAATGGCAAAATTTAGATTCTCTGTGTTTTATTTATTTATTTACTTATCTATATATTCATGTATGTATACAGAACTGGGATACAGGTCAGACTTGAGGGGCAGTGAGAGGACTCACCAGAGACAGAGTGGGTAGCAGAACAGGCAGATCAATTGAGCACACTGCTAAGGGGAGCAGTGGGTAGTTCAGGAAAGGTCTGCCATATCATGTGGGTCAGAATCGGAGCCAGGGATCAAATTTGCACTGAAGCAGCCAGCTTGCAGTACTACATCCTTACCCTTTTTGCTACCAGTGATGGCCCTGTAGTGACTTTTTAACTGATCCTATGATTCTCCATTATCTTTCTAACATACACCTTGAACTAGTAGATTTCTACATTGCTTATGTCTGCATCACACATTGGCAAGCATATTTTTAAAAGGCAAAATGGTAAATATTTTCAACTTTACTGGCTTTATAATCTTAATTATAAGTATACAAGTCTTCCATTGTTGTACAAAAACAGCTACAAAACAGTATATGTGGATTAAGGAATGTGAGTATATTTATATAAAATCATATTTACAAAAGGTGTACAAGGCTAAATTTCAACTGAGGGACCTTGATTTGTCAGTCTCTGAGTTGGGGCATAAGTATTAGACTCTCGGTAACTATGAATTACATACATAGATGCACACTACATTTTTTCCCCTAAACTTTCTAGGGTATCTATTATTAGGTTAGGCTTAAAGACATTTGGATTAATGTGCATGATCATCTCTGTATGTGGGTATATGTTCTAAAAAAAGGCAGCAATTCAAATATTTAGAAAGTGAGTTAATCTAAGGTACATCATAACTGTAGCTGAAAAGACTAAATAATGCAAATACTGTATAGGAAAACCAAATGTTAATTGTGTAATCATGGAAGACTGATGCTGTTCTGTGAAGAAAACAGTATCATTAAAAATAATTTCATATTTCATATAAACTGTTTAATTGCAGTCCATTTCTCACCAGCAAAAAATAAACACTTTAGAGCCAAACAATTATTTTATCCATTAAATTCAAATAAATACATGCAAATGTTGATGCAATAAAATATGCCTAATATTTATTTCCCTAATAAAGCTATGCTTATGGCAGAATGCCAGGATGCAATTTGTTGCAGAGGAGGAAGATATTTTCCTCCCATTCAGTCATTTTTGATTGTAACTAATATTCATCCTTTTATTCAGCTTTATGGGTATAAAAGTCATTGCTAATATAATAAAGCAACTCATCTACATTATATTTTTCCTTTTAGAAAATAATTTAATACTTTCAAGGGAAGGAAATTTCATAAGGATCTTGCAATTAAATATCAATCTGAAATCCTATTTTCCTTTGACAAATATCTTTAAATTATAATTTTGCCATATGATGTAAAAGGACTAGATTGAATTTCTTATTTAAAATATACCCATAAACATATACACAGGAAAATATATGTTTAAAAAATTATGTTCTTACTGTTTTAGCCTTACTATATTCTAGCAATACTAGATATACAGGAGCTACTGTTATCGATTATTTTATGATAAATTTTATCCTCTGCTATACTTTGATGAAAAATAAAATAAAATGTTGAGAAAACTTATTTGGTATTCTAGAGATAACTGTACTTCAGAATAAATAAAATTAAAATATTGAAAATACTATTTTCTTATATGAAAATGATACATCAGTATTAATTAAGAAACTAAAATTTGGGTGACAGTATATATAACTGGACCAGGAGACACAGACTATGTTATGGAGGAGACAAAAGGAGGAAAAAGTGAGTTTTTTTGTAACTGTGAAAATTTCTATAGATGGAATGTGGTAACAATACATCCTGGAAAGTGGCATCACTCATTTCTCCTCCTCAGTGCTCATTTTCTCTTTCTTTTTTAAATCAGGCTTTCAGTACTGCACAGGTTCTGACACCTAATTATGGAAACCTTACAAGTTTACTCAAATTTCAAAAATTTCTTGCTTTATAACATCTGTCTTTTATTGTACTTCAGTCAGAATTCTCATTCCTTTTAAGTTGCTGATATCCATTAGAAAGGTGGAAGAAATTTTCAATTAATTACTTCACACCCACCTTCTGTTTTTAGAAATATTAGCATTTTAAAATAGTGCGCATGTCAAAACAAATTTCCTACTGATACTATTAAACAGTGAGAAAAACAATTATTTTAAACACAAGAATATGTAATATGTAATATACATATACACACAAACGTGTGTCTACTTCACTCTGTTTCTGGGTTTTGGTTGGCTTTATAAGGGTATTATCATATATAAAACAGGTATATACTTAATATCCACATTTGTCAGTCACTGTGAGTTTCAGGAATGAAGCCCAAAGGGGCACCAAAGTAATCCATCTTTGAAAATAAAATGACCCTTAAAAAATTACTAATTTTATCTACAAATACTTATTACATCCTGCTGAATTAAATCCTTCTCAGAGGGAAGAAGAATTTATTTAAGAAGAGAAAAACATCTTGTCCTTAGGAAAAGCTGGTGGACAATGTATGTGTAACACTCTAAAATCAAGGTAACAGTTATATACTAGAGTTATTTTAAGTAAAGTTTCCAATCCTAGAAATAAAATAAAGAGGTATGGAAGAAAATATAAAGAAACAAAAGGGAAAGAAAGGAAAGGAAAAGGGAAGAAAGGAAAAGAAACAGAATGGTAGAATCTTTCTGGATTGATGTAATAGTTCATCTCCAGTGGGTATTAAACACAATCAAAGTGTGATCAAGAAAACAATGTGTAGGATGAAAAGACACAGAGATGTATGGCAAACCAGCCTTATGGGAAAAGGAGTCCACCAAATAAAGAAAGGACTATTTTCTTCAAGTTAAAAATAACTCCCCTTAGAAGCTGAATTCTCATTTTCCCTCCCTTTCTCCTTCCCCTTCTCTTACCTATCTTTCAGTATGAATACTGACTTACATATAGTACAACATGCATGTGCTTTCGTCTCTGTGTGCTATAGATAGACCAATGCATTTTATCTTTGCAATGATCCCATTTAACAGATGAAATTCCAAGGTAGATAGTGTTCATGCAGTCAGCATATGATAGAATCAGAATGTGAACCAAACTGTCTTCCTCTAGAATCAGAATGTGAACCAAACTGTCTTCCTCTAGAATCTTCTGCTTGATTACTAGTCTCTCCTAAACTGATTTATTTGATTTCATTTATATTGGGTATTTCAAAATATGTTCCTATTGTTTAATATACTTTTCAGTAAAAAAAAAAAGACTTCTAAATTCATATAGATATGTAACTTTAAGCATACTCAGTATCACCACAATATTTGTAAATAAATCCACTGAATGTACACTAAATAAAATACAGTTTACCTTCCTCCATGTAGCCAAATCTAATATGTGTATGTCTTTAATTTCCTTGAATTCTTTGTAAGAATTAATGCTGTTCACTACTATCATCTTGAAACTCTTTCCTTAGGTTTTTATTTTCCTCCTGCTGCTTTGGCTAGGAATCCCTTGGTTATTTTCTCTTCTATCTGCATTCTTAGTGTTGATTTGGTCCAAGGCTCTGACCTCATTTTATTTTCTGTTATAATCTTAAAAAATCTTAACTATCTTCTTGTCTTCAACCTGCAACTGAATGTCTACCTAAGTGATAGGCACTAGGAATAACCCATACTCATTGATTGTATAGTCTGAAATATTGTGCTGTGTCCTAGAGTACATCAAATTCAACATATGCAAAATTTAAATTTTCAGCTTATTCTTTATGCCAATTATCTTTAAACTTTGAACTGCAGTGTGAACTATAAGTTATTTATTAACATAGTAGAGAAAAAGTAAATAAAATATATTATTTTAGAGCACATGAAAATTAGTTGAAAAACAAATTTTAATGTCAATATATAAAATTTCATTGGAATATAGCCACGCTCATTCATGTTCCATATGACTGCTTTCATACTACAACAGAGTTAAAAAGTAGCGACAGGGACCATATGGCCTACAAAGGCTAAAATACTTACAGTGAGGCCTTTGACGGTTGTCTATTGAATCTTCCCTTTATCTACTCCCATGGTTTGAAAGTCTCACTTTGATTTTAATGTCAATTATAGAAAATGGGAAACTAACGACATCCCAAAAATCTTCCTTCTCTCTTTAAACTCCTCATAAGCTTCTATAAATTATTTTATTAACTTCACCTTTAAGTATATCATAACTCTAGCTTCCTTTCTGTTCTTAAAACCACAGCAGTCACCTCCTGAGCTATTGAAGCAGCAACTTTATTAGTTTCCTACCTACAGTCTTGTCATGTCTCTTTCCAATCTATTCTTATATAGATTAAATCAAGCAGATTTCTTGCAGACAAATCTGTATTTATTCCCTTTAAAATATACATTTTTTAAAGATTGTATTGGCCCTTCCTTTTGGTGCAGTAGGCTAAAGCATAGTACTTCCAGCTGGCTGTAGCTGATTCAGTGTGAATTAAATCCCAGGCCAGAGAGGTGACCCACATGGCACAGCAGACCTCCTGATCCTCCCGCTGCTCCACATAGCAGTGTACTTCGTCAGTTTGCCTGTTCTCCTTCCCACTCTGCCTCTGGTGAATCCTCTCACCTCCCCTGTACCTCTGGCCTGCACCCCAGTTCTGTATGCATACATAAATATTAAAAAATATATATACTCATTTATCTTTGTGTAGTAGAATTGGATTATAGGCTAGAGGTACATATGTGTGTGTGTGCAAATGAAGTCGTAGGATTCACCAAAGACAGAGTGGGAGCAGAACAGGTGGGTCTTCTGAAATACACTGCTGAGGGGAGCAGTAGCTAAGAGAGGAGAGGTCTGCTGTGCCAAGTGGGTCAGCTCCATTTCTGGGGATCAAACACAGGCTGTTTTAATGGTAGCACTCAGACTTAATCCCTAGACCACCAGGGAGGCCCTGAAAACTATTTTTCATGTTTTTCTCCTTCCCTTAGTTCAGTGGTTCCTAAGGCATCAAAAAGCAGTACCTCATCAGAAATCATTAAAATTGCAAGATCTCAAGTCATTCCCCAACATTACTTAATCAGACTCTCTGAGGTGAGGTGGAACCCATAAATTTTTATTTTATTTAGTTCACCAGGAAATTATAATGCACACTCAAGTCTGAGGTCAGTGGAATCACTGGTCCTCTATTATATTAATGGAAATTCCTTTGCAAGAGGAACATTTAAGTTACTCATATTCTAAACCATGCCCAATCTTGCTTCCTATTTATTCTATCTTTATCTCTAGCTGCTTCAACCTGAAAATTTGGAAGACCCAGAAGTTAATTATTTTAACTTAGCTAACAAGATGAGTAAGTGATAGTGGAAGGACTTGATAATCTAAGTCCAAAGTCTTTGTAGAAATACATTTTGTTATCTTTTAAGATATATTCAACAATCTGTCACATTCAAAAGTCTTCCATTATGTCAATGAATTTATTGATCCCAATTGTAAATTTAGTTTGTCCCTGTTTAATATATCAATATCAAGAAGGGAAGACTTAGTTCACCCCTTGTGAATGTGTCAATAAACCACAAATCTCTATTGCCATCTGGTGATGTGATATAACAATTCTAATGAGAATCTCATTTACAAATGAATTTGGTATCTTCTGACTGGCAAAAGATTGTGGTTAATTAAACCAATAGCTTTGTGTTTATTGTCTCCAGAGTCATATAACTAGACAATCATCCCTTGGTTATTAGATTTGTTGCAAAATATTAATTATTTTTTTTTGCTCTCAGGTGTTCTACCGGTAAAAGAAGGTGGCTAATAATCTTCCTCATGGAATAATAATGAGAATTAGCAAATGGTACCTATTATTATTTTCTGATTAGAAGTAATTTAGACTCTATTGTTTACACAAATAAATAAAGGGCATCCTATTACTTAAATATTTTATAGTCTACTGGGTAGATAAATTAGAATTAAGAAAATGATAAATAGCCATAAAATTATAAGTGCTCTGAGAGCTTTGTGGTGTTATACATGAATGCAAATGAGATGAAATCTTAATAGTGTAATGATTTACATGTGGCATTGAAGTAAGAAAGAATTTCAGAAGAACTGTTGGTATAAACCTTTGTACAGGTTGAGGGAAATATCTGTAAAACCCTAATAAAATATGATACATGCTTGTACCTTCCTTATTATTACAATGCCATGAGTATGAAAATATTTTATGCTATGTCAATCAAATGTTAATCTCAATATCTAAACAAAAGCTAATATGTCTCAAAAAGGGTCTATTTTGAGATAAACTATTTTGTTTTTAATATACTCAGAATTTATTCAATTAGTAGCTGTGTTTTGCTTTAAAGTAATTTAGGCTTCATAAGGGCAAATTATTTGTTTTCAGCTTAAAAGAACCCATACAAGTTGGTGTTCTTAATCGTTATAAAAGTTGCAAATATAATTAATGACTTTCCTTTATTCTAAGGAAACAACATTCTCCTATGTATTTATCAATAGCTGGTTGTTATTCCTCAACTATATTCTATAAATTACCAAAACACACTAGAGATAGAGAAATTAGGCTAAAGGGACCAGTGGTCAGTTCACCTGATGAATTTTAAATATTCTAAAATAACATAGTGATAAAATGTGACATTTTAGTCAGTGTGGGGCTATAGAACATTGTATGCGAAACTGTAATGCTAAATTAGCCAATTGAGATTTTGGAAAAATCTCCTACAACTTGCTATAACATTCTTTATTGATGCATTAGCAATGACAAAAAAAAAATTTGGTGTAAATTCTAGGATTTTTCTATTTCAGTGTGAAAGAGAAAAACTAATAAAGAGTAGAACCATTCTCATCATATGCTATACATGTAATATTGCTATTAGCTAACATAAATTGTTTTACAGTTCAAATATTATATGATTAAAGTGAAATAATTTTTGGAATGTTAATTCATACAAATCACTTACCTTGTGGCTGACGACTGGGGTGGTATATCTGAAGATCAAATGGCTGTGCACTGGTTTTTTGAATCACACTGACATTCTGTCCTGTCCACTTGTTGGCTTTAGACAATGTATTGGTCCTCCAATCTGTCCAGTAGACCTCACTTCCATATAGAGATACAGCAAAAGGATGAGAGAGGTACTCATGACCTCGGATGATTTCTATCATGCCTGTTCCATCATAGAGGGCTGAATAAATAGCATCTGACCTACACAAAGGTAAATATATAAGTCAATTTAAAAAATTCATCCATATAACTTGGGATATGATCATACTACTTAAATGACAGTAAATATGTTATTTAGAAAAAAGCATTGTGTGAGCCTATGTGATCAGCAGAGAGGATAAGTAATAAGGCCAGATGATATTTGTTCATTAACAAAACAAAAAAAAGCAGACAACAGTCTCAATGTGTGTATGTGTATTACATAAGTTTAGGCCATCTTTGTGATATTAAGAAAGCTATCAGAAACTAAAGAAAGTTTCAGAAGGAGAAAGACAAATATGTAACATAATATCACATATATGTGAAATATAAAGAAATAAAACAAAGGGTCAGAGAGAGCCAGACCAGTAGCAAACTCCAGAAATATGTCTTTAGAGTTAAAGTTTCTGTAGGAAAGATGGACTGTGGAGAGCATAATGTGGAGTGCCGACATCCATGATGGAAGACCGCAGGGCCCTGATGATGGCTATGGTGTGGTGACATACATCAGAGGAGGTGTCAACCTCTACCTCTGAATCACATATAGTAAACCAGTGACCTCAATATTTTAAAAATAAATAAATAAAAACTGTTTAAGGAAGGAGAAAGGAAATACAGAAAGATTATTTATTAAACAGAAAAGAGATTGTTTGTAAACCTGGCATCTGTCCAAACTATTCTTTTTTCAAAGTGGTCCACGGTGAGTCCATTAGGCCAAGCCCCAGTTTTCATGTCTTTATAGATAGTTTTTCTTCCAGCACCACTCATAGAGGCAGATTCAATGCGAGGAAAATTGGCATCCCAATCAGTCCAGAAAAGAATTCTGAAGAAAAATAAATGATATGATTGTTTTAAGTCATTCATTCACAGGTATTTATTGAGTGCTTCTCTATGAAATGGAATGGGTAGATAGTTATAATAAAACCAGATGTATTAGCAGCCTCATAAAAGAGAAAGATAAGCTCAAATATATAATCACAGCTTCTGAAATGTTTGAAGAAAAACTTTGGTCTGAGAAAGGACAGCAGATAGGTAACCACTTAGGGTAGACAACAGGGAGAAAATTACATAGAAGAGGTGATATATATACAAAAGCTAAAGGATCAGGAGAACAATGGAAAGAACACGACAAGTAAAATAGAAACATGACAAGTATATAGAAAGTCTCTGATGGGTAAAAGTGCATGGGTAATTGGCAGAACTGATATGACTGATATATAAGAAATGTGGTTAGTGGAGGATAGAGGAGACTATGAAATTGAAGAGAATGAGCTTTTGGGTCTTGTAGAGCCAACATTATTTGGGGTATTACTCTGTGAGATTAAAAGGCATATACTATATGAGCACACATAGAAGGTTTATCTTGATTACAATGAAGCAAATTCAATGGTTATTTTTAAGGACCACAAAAAGATGAAAGTGGCCTACAGGTGGTTGTGGCAGTAGAGCAGTAAATGGATTCAAGGTATATTTGTAAGCAGAATTACCAGATTAGCTGATAGATTAGATGTAATGAATGTGCTAGAGAATAGAAGCACAGTGACTTTCAGGTTTTTGTTTCAGCAAACTTAGACTCAGGATAAGGAAAGCATGGGTATGAATTCACCAAGTGCAATGGGGAATAAAATAGTGGAGTAGATTTCAAGAGCTGGGAGTTGAGTATGGTTATGTATAGAGAGCAATCAAATGTTTATTTTTGAATATTTTGATTTTGAAATTTTAGGATATCAAAAAGAAGAATTCTAGAAAATTGAGTGGTTTGTGAAGATAAAACTCAGATAATAAGGCTAATTTGGACACATGACTTTGGTGGTATATATGTGGCATTTAGAGTCAATGGATGAAACAGCTCAGAAGATAGGATGTGGAGGGAAAACAAAGGGACTAGTATACTTTGATATGTACAAACAAGTAACTACTAAGATACACCTATTTATATCTTTAAAATCATTTCTTTTGCTAAAATACTATTTGTAACCCTAAAAATTCACAGTGCACAAAGTTCCATACAATAGCCAGTAAGTGCTTCATGTGAACTTTATTTGTGAGAGTTAGATCATGAGTATCCCACAGAAATGACACAAGGGCCTAAACTGCCAAAGGAGTGTTTACTTTATGCCAAATACAGTATTTTGTGTTTTATACAAATCAACTTATTTAGTTGACCATGAGGTAATTGCTGAAGTTATCTATGTTTTACAAATGAAAAACAAATTCTAAAGAAGCTAAATTACTTGACCAGGATTACACAGCTATCAATTGGCAGATGGGGCTGGAATAGTGGACAGCCTAATTTCTGTTTGCACGCTTTAAACATCTAACTCTTTAATGTCATGTCACTAAATAAAATAACAATGGGAAAGCATCTGGTACAGGAGTGGGAGCATGGCTTGTGATAAATTGTGCTTGTCTTTTCTACTTTGGGAATAGAATCCAAGGGGTAGCATGGAGATTTGGAAAGAGACACAGGGTTGGAGAGAATGTGACAGTCCATTTAATCTTCCTATTATCAGTTCTGATAACATTTTGCTGAGAAATGGTGAAGTTACTGGTATAATTAGTATGCCCTTTACTTTATTTATAAATAGCTTAGCTATTTTTTAATCCCTTTGTAAGATAGTTGAGTATAGGTATTTGAAAAATCACCATGGAAGATGAATCAATCTTATGGAAAAAATTCAAAATCCAATTTATTTACTTAAAATAAAGTAGTCTTTATTGTCTATTTAAGAGATCTGAACTAATGTAAACTAAGAGTTCATCATAACTTCTACTTTTGAGGAGTATGTCATCTCTTAGAGAACAAAAGGCTTACCAATTTAAAGTAATTTCAAGATAAATCAAAATAATATACAATACATTTAATAAGTATACATGTTGAAAGAATATGGTGAACAGGTGATGAATGTTGTCTTTTGATATAAGACAGAATTTCATATTTAACTAAAACTCTGGGCATGTAATTATTTTTTGTTTTATTTTTTTTGTTTTTGTTTTGTTTTTATATTTATTTATTTATGCACACAACAACTGGGGTGCAGGCCAGAGGTGCAGGGGGGTGAGAAGATTCACCAGAGACAGAGTTGGGAACAGACAAGGCAGACTGACTGAAATACAATGCTGAGGATGGGGCAGCAGGAATAACAGGAGAGGTCTGCTGTGCTCTGTGGGTCACCTCCCTGGCCACAGATCCAACTTGTGCTGCAGTGGCTGTAGTTTGCTCTATAGTGCTGTGGTTTTTTTTTTTTTTTAATAATTTATTTATTTGTACATACAGAACTGGGGTACAGGCCAGAGGATCAGGGGCGGTGAGAGGCTTCACCAGAGATAGAGCAGGGAACAAAACAGGCAGATCGACGAAGTACACTGCTGAGGGGAGCAGCGGGCGGGTCAGGAGAGGTCTGCCACACCATGTGGTCACCTCTGGGGCAGGTGGGAATTGAACTCATGCGGAAGCGGCTTTAGATTCTCAGTGCAGTGCTTTAACCCGCTGCGCCAGCAGGGAGGGCCCTATAGTGCTGTGTTTTAACCTGATGCACCACCAGGGAGGGCCCTAGACATGCAATAAATTTCATTAAATATTGTTTCAGTGTTGAATTGCATAATATCTATATTCTTGTTTTTATATCAAATAAACTTGGAATAATCATAGTGGATATCTGTCACTCCAGCATACTGAGGTCAGAATCAATTTTCTCATCTGTAAATATTAATAAAACTGTATGAAGCATTCGACAAATTTAGCATAAGGATGGGTAGCACATAGAAAAAAAAAAAAAGTGTTAGTCCATGCACCCACACACATTCATGGAAAAGAGTTCAAAGGCAGAATTTCAAAGTCTTTCCAAACTGTTAAAAAACAGGGGTTGATGGCCCTCCCTGGTGGCGCGGCGGGTTAAAGCACAGCACTGAGAATCTAAAGCCGCTTCGCTTCCTCGTGAGTTGATTCCCGCCTGCCCCGGAGGTGACCACATGGCGTGGCAGACCTCTCCTGACCCTCCCGCTGCTCCCCTCAGCAGTGTACTTCGTCGATCTGCCTGTTCTGTTCCCTGCTCTATCTCTGGTGAAGCCTCTCACCGCCCCTGAGCCTCTCTGTCCTGCACCACAGTTCTGTATGCACAAATAAATAAAGCTTAAAACAAAAACAAAAAACAGGGGTTGGAAGAGAATGAGAATTCTATTTTTCAATATTTAAATGTTACACTAGCATGTATGTGAAGGTAAATTAATTTAATAAGGTTAACATGAATCACAGCCATGAGTACAAAATTAAAAAGTGTAGGTCATAGGATTGGATTTAGCTCATATACAGTCTTGCAAACAATGATTTATAATTTAAAAGAGTTTTATTTCATGAGCAGCTTTATAAGTTTCTATGTCCTTGTTTATATCCAAGTTAATCATTGTTTAATCACCAAATGCTAAATAAAGTAAGCAATTTATCAGGAAAGTATAAAAATGTATACTAATACCAGAAAATAAGACTTTTTAAAGTTGAGTATTAATGGGGATGAGGGAATTTATTATACATTATTTTTAGGTACTGAAATATTTGTATAATCAGTATTTTAAAGCATAAATAATTAAATTTAAAAAACATTTAAATGTACTAGAGGACATTTATAAAATCTTATTCTTGGGAATCATTCCCTGAAAAGATTAATGCTGAAAGTTAAGATTATTGTGTATGAAAATAACTACCTGAAATAGCATGAAATAAGTCATAAACACTTGCACACACATGCTTTCTGTTAATTAGAGAATGGATAAAGAATAATTAATATAAATCAAATAAGCAATTCAGGTATAGTGGAATGTCTTTCTTGAAAACAATATACCTAAAGTGAATTATGCATGTCATTTTAAATCATTTTGGATGAACACATCATTTTTATTATTACCAGGTTATTTGTCAACTTCCTATTAAATTGAGAACTAAAAAATAAATTAACTAATTAAAGTGGAAACAAGGCCAACATAGCATCAATCAATTTTATGGTGATATCTTGGCATATAAGATGAAGTAGTGATATTTGCAAGTTTAGAAAAATATTAGGAAAATACTCTGTGAAAAAGCAGAATTTTAGAATCATATATAGTATACATAGTCACCACCAAATTTAGGCAGGGCTGTTCTTCACATTGAATTGGTGATACAAAGATTTCTAAAATATTGCCCTTTGTTCATATAACAAATAGAGAATTGATATTTCTTTTGTAACTCTTTATCAAGTTCTGTTTATGTGTTGTGTCAATTCCAACATGTATATCAGTAAATGTGCAATTCAATATCACATGTAGGTAGGTTTACTATTTGTGGACTCTCAAATAGATGTTCTCATGTATGAAGGAAATATATATGGCTTGGGACAATTTGCAGCATTCTAAAAAAAATAAGATATACTTTAATTTCCTTATAACAGTGTTAAACTGTTTCTTCTATAGTGGTCGCTGTGGTCCTAACTTTTAAATAATTCATGTGGGAAATTTCTAATGTTTTTATAAAATAACAAGTTCTATAATTAATCTCACCAAAGCATTCTTAAACTTTCCATAATATAGTTTACGGTTAATTTTAAAATTGATTTTAAGGGTCATTGTTTCATAAAATTCTAAGTACTCTTTTGTATACTTTACAATGTGGTATTTTAAAAGAATCACTTTTTCCTTATTACTTTCTTTTTATTTTTAAAACATATTAGCATTTCAAAGATCACATTATGTCTTCAAGTATACAAAGACTGAATATTCCTTCTTGCAAGACGTATGGAAATGTTTAGCCATAATTGCTTTTAAAATAGAGACTACAGTCTACTGATTCTACAGTTCTTGCATTCATGGGTTAGTCTGTTTCAGGATTAAATTGGGTCAATGGAGCATGAACAACTTGTGCCATTACAGGCATGAAAGGACCATTATCATCTATCAGGTCAAACTGCATAAGGTGAAAATAAATGATCTTGGTAAAAATGGTTACTCATCTATAATCTTTAGCTCTTCTAAAACCAACATCTATATTAGTTTCACTTAAGAACACTTGCAGATAAAATTAAAATTTTATTTCGATGTCTCTCTAATCTTTACAGTTGCTATTATCTGCTCCCAACAATTGCAGTGTTATAGCAAAGTCCACTGATTATGACAAATGAAAACATAAATACCAGCAATGCAGCAAGCGAGACTATGCAGCTGCATAAGAAGAACGGCAATGAAAGTTCAAGAACAGAAGTACTGGCCTGTAGATTCTGAACTCCCTGACACTTGTTACTCCCTAATAATAAGCTTGATGTTTCGAGGAGATTTATATACTCTTTGGGGTCACCTTAGCAATAAGTGCATTACCTTAAAATTGAATGAAAGAATGATGACTCCTCCCTAAGACTTCCAATCTGGGATATTGGGTCAGAATACTGAAGGGATGTGACATGATGACATACATGTTTTATAATGTAATATGAATTCTTGTAGATTCTATGCTGGGAGTTAAGTCATAAATTAAAAACACTTCTATTTTGGCATCTTAAAAGGACAAAAGGATCTGACAACTGTAGGAAGCTAAAATGACTTTAGCATGTTTTATAGAACACATGTTACAGTTTGTGTTTTCTTCAGCTTTTCTCAGGAAGCAAAGTGATTGGTTGCAAACTTTTATTTTTGTCATTGGAGACAAGGTTTTGTGTAGTAGCCACAAGCTGATTTTTTAATTATTGCTTTGCTCTTTAAGGTATGTTTTCATGTTCCTGTAAGTTACATGCAAACACAATTCTATTCATATTCATGCATTAATTAACTTAGTAGCTATTTACTATCAAGAGCAATGGAATAGTTAATAGACGTGGAAGAAATTTTGCTTGCCATAGAAAGCATGTGATATAGAAAAAAAAAAGATTGACATTTATACAAAGCACATTTCAAAAAAAAATTAGCTAGTGGACTTACTCTAGTGGACAAATTAAATTGTCACAAATTGAAATGTCTTCAACTCCTATTCAGTTCTCACATCAGATATTTCACAAATAAATGAGAAATAGGGGGGAATTTTGTTTCTGTTTGATCATATAGCACTAAGACAGTAAACTGAGTTAAAATCAGTATTTTTCAGTGCTGCTTTACTTATGCTTACTTTGGCAGTGTAATTCACTGTGTATGTGTCCTTATTTTTACTCAGTTCTGAGCCTATCTCATGAAATAACCAAAATCCTAAACTTTTCCAAATTATACTTTCATTTGCATTCATTTTCAGACATAATTGCTACAATTGGGTTTTATTTTTATTTTTTTAAAAGATTTATTTATTTATTCATATAGAACTGGGGTAAAGGCCAGAGATGCAGAGGGTGAGAGGATTCACCAGAGACAGACTGGGGAGCAGAACAGGCAGATCGACGGAGTACACTGCTGAGGGGAGCAGCGGGTGGGTCAGGAGAGGTCTGCCATGCCATGTGGATCTCCTCTGGGGCAGGCGGGAATCAAACTCATGTGAAAGTGGCTTAAGCTTCTTAGTGCTGTGCTTTAACCAGCTGCGCCACCAGGGAGGGCCCACAATTGGGTTTTAAATGGGTTTATATGTCTCATATTTTAATTATATCAATCATTTATAAAATAATTTTCAACAATAAAATTACTGTAAGATCCTAATAACCAAATCTATCACCCTTTCAAGAAAAAAGAAATCAAGAAAAGTAGTACTATGATATCAACTTTGGTCATTTATGCCAGAAATAACTTTGTTATTTACCTGGTTTCTTTTTTTTTTTGAAAATTATTTAATCATCTTAATAAGACTCACAATTTCATAGTGGCAGGTATAGAAGACATCAGCTCTCTCAGAAGCATTAATTGTTTTTTGTCCACTCTTAGGCCCAATGTCTATATTTTCAATTCTTAGATGATAAGATGATATTTTACTTTTAGAGTCCTTTATAGAACTAAACTAGTTTTTGGTATTTTAAATAGTATTCATGAGTTGTGTGTCCTTTGTATTTCTGTTTTCTTCTTATTTTTCCTCTCAGGTTGGAAATTCTATAACTAAGATAAATATATTCATCCTAAGTATTGTTAGATCAAAATTTCAGCTGCTATACAGACTGTTTTGTTCAGGTCATATCTTTTTCAAATAACTGATTTATTTATTTATTTTGGCTTTTACTCTCTCTATGACTTTTGTAATTTGGGAAGTATTTGGTTTTCCTTACAGATTGTTATTCATGGTAAGACTAAAGCATTTCCAAAATATTAATTTTCCTTTAGGCAGATAAGTTTCTGATACAACTTAGGATAAATAGGGGTAAATTTGACAGATTTTGACGTATTGGTTCCTACATTAATTCACATTAAAAAACTCTGTGGGGGTGAGAATGGCACATCTTCAAGCAACTAGTAACAACAAATGTTGGCGAGGATGTGGAGAAAAAGGAACTCTCCTGCACTGCTGGTGGGAATGCAAACTAGTACAACCACTATGGAAAACTGTTTGGAGGTTCCTCAAACTGCTTAATCTGTAGCTTCCGTATGGCTCAGCAATCCCACTCCTAGGTATCTACCCAAAAGACACAAAAACACTTAAAGAAAAAGATACCTGCACCCCCCATGTTTATTGCTGCTTTATTTACAATTGGAAAAACATGGAAGCAGCCCAAATGCCCAAAAATAGATGACTGACTGGATTAAAAAGATGTGGTACATATATACAATTGAATATTACTCAGCAACCAAAAAAGAGAAACACATGTCTTTTGCAGCAACTTGGATGGAGCTGGAAATGATCATGCTTAGTGAGATAAACCAGAAAGAAAAAGAAAAATACCAGATGGTTTCGCTCATAGCAGGAGTATACTGGACCAGGTGAGAAAATAATAAGAATAATGAACAACCATATACCAGAGACGTTTTGTGGGGGTGGAGTGGAGAATGGGATCAAAAACGGGGGTTGTGGGGTGGGAAGGGTAGTGCACGGGACTATGGTGATGGCACACAGGTGATTCAGTGATGGGAAGCCCACGGGGATTACAATTTAGATAAAAACAAAAAAGTGTACAAAATGATGTAAAAATAAACTGTTATATTATTAAAACAACAACAACAAAACAAACAAACAAACAAAAAATGGTCTTGGACTTCCCAGCCTTCAAAACCATAAAATCATGAGAAAATAAACTCCTGTTGTTTAAGTCAAAAAAAAAAAAAAAAAGAAAGAAAGAAAGAAAGAAACTGTGGGGAATAAAGGGTCAGATCTACTTGGAACTTCAGGAGCACCATTAAAAAAATGGATCGTCATTAAATAAAAGATACTTTCCTGGTGAAATGTTACTAGAGGAGGCATTGCAGCATTGAGTGAAAGGGGTGGGGGTGACCAGTATAAGCTGTGGAACAAGAGACCATACCTTCAGGACAAAATGTATACCTGACTTGCTCACTATTGGCAGAGCTCTCTGTTTTTCAAAAGAAGTCAGAAATCCAGGATTGTATGTAAAATCTGTTGATATTTTCTGTTTTGGCAACTAATTCAAATAAATTTAAAACATTCTGGAAGGTGAAGCAAACACATCGATGAAAATTGCCAATTTGGAACCCTGCTGCAAACAAGCTGCTTCAACCCTTAATTTCTGTCTGAATTGGGGAAAAGGAAAACAAACAAACTTACCAATGTATTGATTTCATAGTCAGAGAGTGTAGCCAGGAAGCTAACTAAACACAGGGCTTACTTTTCTCTCTCCTGCATCTCATTAAACTCCCTTCCAGCTGACTCCCCTCTCATTAGTGGTTCTTGGATTTTGTATTAATTAAAGGCACTGAGCCAACAAAGTAATCCTTCCTACTACCCTTTAAACTTGGCAAATGTTTGTATTTAAGAAATAATTACTAAAAATATAAATAACACAAAGTAATAAAGTTATCTCACATATTTCAATTACATATAGCACACATACTTACTATTCCCTATCTAGCACCCCTATTCACCATCCCCTTCAAAATCAACTCATAATAAAGAGGCTATTATCCTTGACTTAAAAGGATTGAAGAAAAAACACTAGAGTAGTTTTCCCAAAGAATAAGTGACTAAATCCACATTTTCTGATTCCAAACCAGTGTCTCTCTTCTCCTTTTTCACAAAGGAACACATATGGGATCCTGGGGTCAATAACCTGAGTTATTTAACATTTGACCCTGTTTTCCTGAATTGTATACTTGGTCTTTCAAATATCCCAGTAGTCAGCAACTTAAAACTTGCAAGCTTATTCTAATTTTCTTTTATACAGACTCCATGTACATATCAAAATAAATAATGGGTGAGGGGGTTAACACTGGTGATGGAATTAAAGACTGCTCCTAAGGTTTGCAGCCACTAGAAATAATTAAACCATCTCCTTAGCATGGCAAAGAGAAATGTATTAAATTACTAGTTCAAAATATATTGTAAAAGATTTCAATAGCCTAATTCCCATATTTAGAGAAAAAAAAAAAACTTTAAATACTCTAAAAATAATGATAAGGAATTATAAAACAAAATATCTGGTGACAAATGTAAACTAGTTGATATGTATCTATATCAATCAATACATACATATATATATACATATGTACATATGTATGTATGTATACACACAACTATATATATTCACACAATTATATATGTATACATCTATACATATAGAAAATAAGCACTTTGAGTCATAATTTATAAGGTAATTGAATTCAGTATTAATTTGAAAGATGATATTTTATACCAAAGTGATTCTGTGAAAGACATATTTCCTTACCCATATCTTGGGTCCAAAGCAATGGCCCGAGGGTGTTCCATGGCTCCTGCTATTAGTGTAGTTCTTAATGAACCATCCAGTTTGGCCACTTCAATTTGGTCAAGATTGCTGTCTATCCAGTATATGTTGCCTGCTATCCAATCGACTGTTAGTCCTTCTGGGGTCGCTAAACCATGTTCTACAACCACTTCGATTGCACTAACACCTACAAGAAAATGTGAAAGCAATAATTTTGTCTATCAAGGAACACCATAGAAATGCCTTATTTATCAGCAGTACAATGTACTCAAACATTATATAAATTTTATGAGATATTGTACAAAAACAGTGCCCGGCACATAGGAAACTAGAGTTCCAAATTTAGAATTGCTGATATGCTTGCTAGGTAGAAAATACTTTATAAATATTTCCCAGGCTAATAACAATGATTGCAGAAAAGTTATTTCTTGTTTGGCTTTTTAGGCAAAACAAGGGATTTGGGGAATAATAATGATAAGCTAATTAAAAGCAGTGAGTTTAATTTAAATGTTGATCTACATGGGTAGAATAAAGAGAAAAATCTATCTGAGGCAATATGCAATGTAGCTATCAGCATTCACTCTTTTTTTCTAAAACATGATAAATAAAATGGCTTCTCCTTATTTAGCCTCTACAAAAATGAGCCCAAAATCACATTGCCCCTCCCCCAATTACCCTGTGCCCATAATCCATGGTTTGATGTTTATTGCTGCTTTGTTTACAACTGGAAAGGCATGGAAACAACCCACATGCCCCTAAGTAGATGACTGGACTAAAAAGATGTCATACATGTAAAAAATGGAATATTACTTAGCAATAAAAAATAATAAACACATTCCTTTTGTAGCAACATGGCTGGAGCTGAAAAAGATCAAGCTTAGTAAAATAAGCCAGAAAGAAAAGGAAAAAAAAAATACCAGATGGTTTCACTCATAGCAAGAGTATAAAGGACAAGGGGAGAAAATAATAATGATGATGATGAACAACTATATAACAAAGACATTTTACAGGGGTGGAATGGGGAATGGGATGAAAGATGGTTGGGGGAGTGAAGTGCATTGGATTATGGTGATAGCACACGGGTGATTTGGTGATGGGAAGCTCGCAGGTATTACAACTGAGATGGAAATAGGCATAAAATGATGTAAAAATAAACTATTATATTATTAAGGAAAAAAAATTCCATGCTTTGAAGCATTATGAGTATTAGAACTTACCACTTCACCTCCCCAATATATGTGTGCCTGTCCCTGGCTTTACATATATGAAGAAGATTAAGAAACACTGGTCAAATATTAATAAAAATTCATTGTTATTAGTATATATATATATATATATACATGTGTGTGTATGCATGTATATATGCATGTATATATATATATGTATATACATATGTGTACACACACACACACACATATCCCTACCTCCACTTTCAGAGAGCTTGCCCCGGTATATTCTGTCTTCTACAACATCTGTCCAATAAAGCAAACTTTGATTGAAGTGGAAATCAAGTGCTATTGTATTCCGTAATCCAGGAACAAGAAGACTGTAGTCTCTTTTATGAAGATCAATCCTTCTGATCTCATGGCGAATAGAAAAGATGATGAATGCTTCAAAGGGATCTGAAATTAAAATTATTTTAATAGGTTATGAAAATATTAGGGAACCTTGGTAGTGAAAATGAAACAATAGAGCTCAAAATCCATTTATTTGAAGTATACTTTACTATATAAACCTCTGTCATTAATGGAACAATTCACCTTAATCCAAATTTTAAAAGTAAAAACTTCAATTTGTGTGTTCACTAACATAAGGTATAAATGTGCTTTTCTCTTTTCTGTATGTCTAATGTTGACAAGTTATCTTGTCTAGAGAGGCTATAATCTCTCCTGTTCACAGAATATAGTCTACAAGTGGATGTGATTTCTACATCACAATGCGTTTGTAAATTTCCAGACAAATCTTGAAGTTGAGGGAAAGAATGCCTTTTTCTCTCAATAAGAACTATAACATTAAGAGAAAAAATAATCATGGGGACTATACTACCTACTTCCTTACAGATTTTGGATAAGAGAGGAAATCAAAGTAGAAACTTAAAATATCCTGAGAAAAACAAAAATGAGGATGCAAGAGATCAAAATCTATGGAATGCAACAAAAACAGCCTAAAGGTTAAGGATGACTACAACACAGTCCTATTCTAAGAAGCAAGAAAAATCCCAATATAAATTTCATATCACACATGATACAATTTAGAAAAGAGGAATAAACAAAGTTAGTATGAGGAATGAAACAATAAAAAGAAAATAAATAAAAAACATAAGATCAAAACCTAGAGCTGGATTTGTAAGAAAATAAATATATAAATAAATCTTTACCTTTGTTAAAACAAAAAGCAAATAAATTAAACATAATCACAAAGGATAAATCCCTACATATAGAAAAGAAGTACACAGTATCATAAAGCCTACTTTAAACCATTACATGCAAATAAATTTAATAACCTAGAGGAAAAGGACAAATTCTAGAATACTACAGCCTACCAAAACTAACCCAGAAAGAAATAAATGAATTGAAAAACTGACCACATGCATGGGAATCAAACAAGTAATAAAAACAAAAGGTCAGTACCAGATAGCTTTACAAGTAAATTTTATCAAAACTTAAAAAAAAAGAATGCTTATCTTTCTCAAATTGTTTTTATAATTGCAACAGCAAAGGATGAACCATAATACATTTTACAATGTTGACATTGCCAAAACACAGAATGAGAAAATTATAGATCAAAATCTCTGATGTCAATACAAAAATTTTAACAATATAACTTTAAATCAAATTCAAAACAGTGCATCACAAGGAGAATATATCATAATCAAGGACGTGGGTGGCTTAATAAACACAAGTTTATGTAATATATTATATCAATAAAGGTATAAATAAATTCATAGTGTAATATCTACAGGTGCAGAGAAAATACTGATTAGATTCAATACCCACCTATGATTAAAAAAAATTAAATGATATAGGAATAGGATAAATTACTTAAATATAATAAAAGTCATATACGTGAAATCAACAGCAACACTTTAGGACTATTAAATAGTTCCTCCTATGCCTCCATACAAACAATGACAATACTGACAAAAATGTCAAAATAACCCCACCTTTTGAACCACAGAAATTAATCAAACTCTATTGACAACCAAGGAGTGTTTGCTCAAGAAAAATTGCTGAGTATAAGTGAGAACAGCCAATTATGGAATATAATATGTATCTATCATCCCTTGTCCCCAAGATTTCAGGGAAAACTGACCACAAAAGCTTAGAAATCATTGAAGAGAGAGAGAATGTTTAGAGTTTTACCAAAATTGATTGTTTTCTATTATTTATTATTTGTTTACAACACTGCTTCTAACTTGGAGGAATAACATCATTCTTGTTCATATATTTTTTACTACACCACACCCAACATCAAGCATTCATAGCATTTTACCTTCATGCATTGGACACTCTCCCCAATTTGTTTCCATCCCTCACTCTCCTCCTCTGGAAGATATTTCTCCAAGCATATTTCTAGAGCTTTTTTTGGTTTAGTTTTATTTTTCCTTTGTTTCCTTTCCTTTTATTTCACATATGAAGGAAAGCATCAGATATTTGTCTTCCTCCTTCTGATTTATTTTGTTTATCCTAATTACCTCTAGCTATATCCATGTTATGACACATGTTAAAATTCCATCAATTTTTACAAGTTGAGTTGTATTATAGTGTGTACCACATGTCCTTAATCCACTCATCTGTCATTGGGCACTTAGGGTGTTTTTGTAACTTGGCTATTGTTAATAGTGCTTCAATGAACATAACAGTGCAACTATCTTTTCAGAACTGTTTTTATATTCTTTGGAGAAATACTTAAGAGTGTAATTACCAGGTAATACATCAAATCTATGAACTCTCTATCGTGTTTTCCATGAAATAGTTCACATTCTCACCAACAGTATATGAAAATTCCTTTAATTCCACACCCTCACCAACACTTGTTACTACCATTTAGCAACATTATTATAGAAACAACATTTGTTGTGATTACTATTTTACAGTGAACCATTGGAATGAGTGATGCTTCATTTGGTTTTGATTTGCATTTTTCTGATAATGAGCTTTTTTTTTTTCCTTCATGTATCTGTTGACCATGTATATGTACTTTCAGTAATGTATCTATTCAACTCTTCTGCTCATTTTGGAATTTTAACTTCATTACATTGTGTAATGTAACGTGCAGGGCATATATTCATTATTGCACTGATTTCATGCTATAATTTCAGATTTCTCTGTAGATAACAAAGTGTCCATTTTAGTAAATTTTCATTATTGCTGATAACTTTTTAAAAATTATTTTGTTGAACAGCATTGTATTGTAGCAATACATAAATTTTAGGACTTCTATTTTTATAGTATTTCTGTATATTTCTTATAGGTGGTGCTTTTTGTTTTCACAGACAAGTTTTCTCATAATGATTGTTATAAAAATCTTTCTACTAACAGTTTGTGTGGGAGTTGTGGTTAGAAATGTCAAAATATATGTATGAATTCATTTATTTCTCCATTACCAATATTTAGAAATATTGAGTTCCTCAGATGTGTTTATATAAACAATGACAGAACATGCAAAAATGGACAAATATCCCCGCCTTTTGAACTCGAGAAATTAATCAATGTCTAGTGAAAATCCAAGGAGTGTTTATTTTAGAAAAACTGCTGAGTACACATAAGAACAGCCATTTGTGGAGTATAACTTGTGCTATTCTCAATCCCCTTTTCTAAGATTTCAGAATCCTAGCCACAAGCTCAGTTTTACCAAAATTCCAAACTTGTGTGAACTATTCAACTGGAGAAAGATACCCCAAAAGGGGGTCTTTATTGTTGGCCTATCTGTTAAGTATCATCACCATCAAGCTACAGCCTGAGTCTGATCCTCCACCAGCAAAGCACAGCAGCTCTTTCCTGTCTTACCTGCTGCTACACTCAGCAGTGCATTTCAGTAGATCTTCTAGTTCTGTTCCCCACTCTGTCCCTGGTAAATCCTCTCACCCCCTGCACCTCTGACCTGCATCCCAGCTTTTCTATGATAAGTAAATATTTCTATATATAAATTAACATTTTAAAATAAATAAATTAGAACAAAAAACTGGGGAACTGAATTTCCACATGTAAAGAAGGACATTAAATCATGCTACCATATGTTATAATTAACTCACAATTGTATCATAAACCAAAATGCAAGAGTTGAGACTATGCAACTATTAGAAGAATACTACAGAGGAAATTTGAATTACCTGCTTGACAATGATTTTTTTTTAGCTCTGACTTGAAAACACATACAATAATAAGTTAGACATAATTAATATATATTTTATACTTCAAAAAAGTCAAGAAATTAAAAAGTCCACCTATAAAATGGGAGAAAATGTTTTCAGATTACATATCTGACTGGGAACACTTACCTAGGATATATAAAGTACAGTTACATTTCAATAATTAGATAAATAGAAGTTTCAAAATGGGATATGTTCTTGATAAGCATTACACCCAAGAAGTGATAAAAATGACTAACAAGCACAATGAGAGAGGGTCAACATTACTCATTAGGGAAATGCAAGTCAAGCCTAGTGAGATGCAACTCTACTCCTATTAAGATGACTAAAAAAAAAGGTAGACAAGAACCACTGACCATAAGATTTTATAGACATTCAACCTTCATACACTATTTGTAGAACTTTAAAATGATCAACAACCTTGGAAAACAGTTTGACAGCTCCTCAAATTATTAATCATTGAATTAGCACATGACCAGCAATTTGACTCTTAGTTATATACCTAGTAGAGATGAAAATGTATATTCACATACAAAAAAATGCATATGAATATTCATAGCAGTATGTTTCATAATATACAAAAAGTGGAAACAATCCAAATGTCCATCATTGGGTAAATTATTAATAAGAAGGTGGCCTATTAATACAATAACTTTATTATTCAGAGTAAAAATAAAGTGCTGATATAAGCTAACACACTGACACTGATGGTGCTTGAAAATAATATGTCAAGTGATAGAAGACAGTCACAAAAGACCACATACTACATGATACTGTTTATATGAAATACCAGAATAAGAAAATCTACAAGACAGAGAAGGATTAGAGGTTGCCAGGGATAGAGAATGGGATAGATTGATGTGATATGATTTTTAATACTTCTGATGTTTGTCTGAGGGGAGGATATTAAATATTCTAAAATTAGATGGTGGTGATAGTCACACTTCTTAGTAAATATACTGCAACCTGTTTTGTTCACTTTAAAAATGTAACTTTTATAGGAATTATCACTAAATTCTTCTGCTGGAAGGAAAGAAATAGCATATAAGAAAATTATAGAGTGAAAAACTTTGCAAATACTATTATTATTTATCAAATAAAATTAAAGTAATAAAATAAACATAATTGTACAAATTGATAAAGTAGGTAAACAATAGCAAGGTCACCCAGTCATTTGTTTGCAAGATTAATACACTGATAAACCAAGACACCACCTACACCTATAGAGTCATAAATATGTATGAACATGCA